CACATCGTTAATCATTCCGCCGTAGACTTTTGTGGTTGTTTCATGCGAGCTGACAATAAAATCGGTGATTGCACAAGCTTGAAGATCTCGATCGGTAATGTCGCCGCATAGCTCCACTGTCATTTTTGAGAAAGTCTGCAGTGCAGTTGATGTCATAGGTCCAGCCACGCCGTTCACCAAGTGGACTGCACGAAGTTTGAGCCAACCTTTTTGGTGACATCGCAGCCCATAGAACTTGGTGCCATTGATCTCTCCTGGCTCAACTATCGACTTCCACATGATCACGATGTAGTCATCAGCTATGTATCGGCGATACGTTTGCTTGCCTAGCACATCGCCGCAAAAATTTCCAGCGTTGAAGCGCAGCCCGTACGAATTCGCCACTACGCTCTCCGTTGACATTCCCTTCTCATTGAAATATCGGGTCTTTGCGATGCTTTCCATTGCGAAAACCCGCCAGAAGCCTCTTTCCGTAACTTTTACGTCAAAGGGTAATACGGCGTTGGACCGGGTCACGAAAGCGACGCCGGTATCCGAACTGTTATCCGACACCACGTGCATATTACTGAAAGTTGAGAAAGTGTTCTCGAAATCTGGTCCACTAAATAGCTGGCCCACTTCGAGGTGAGCTCGTTGAACATGTAACAACTGATCCGCGAATATTTCATTGTCCGTCAAGCTCCAGCTACGAGGCACCCACAGTAATCGCCTTGGTCCAACCAGCTTCTCGACATCCTGTGGCATCACAAAACAGGGAAATCGTTAGCTGCAGTTACCAAATTCGCCCGGAGCTCAAAAGCTAACCTCTTCTTTCAAACGCTTGCGAAGTAGTCCCTGTAGACGTGTCACGAGCTTCAACTGGCTTTTCACCGCTGCACGCAGCTTCTGGTTCTCTACCTCTGCGCGTATCCGCTCCTTCCTTTGTCGTTCAGCGATGGGTTTCCATAGGGCCTTCTTCACCCTTTGAGCTTCCGTCTCGTGACTTGCAGCCGATTTACTTGATCTGAGCTGCACCAAGTTACTCTCCAGTTTGCCCGCCAAGACACGCAGATACTCGAGCTCAAGCAAATTCGTTTCTTTTGGGGCGTGCCAACCGGTTTTGGTTTTAGTAGCGTTGCACCTTGGCTAGATCTGGCCAAGAACGACGACAACAGCACCACTGATAACTGGTCAGCACTGAGCAATTTATCAGGGTTCAAACAAGCAAAAGCCATCGTCGCCTTCCTCACTTTGATGTCAAAACCCAAAGTGCAGTCAGTGTTCACGTTCGCCACCACTTCTGATTATACGTTTAGCTCAACTGCATCAACATTTGTGAACAAATGTTTAAAAAAAAGAATGAGTTTATTAACGGATTTTCCCGAATATAGGGCATCTCCCGAATAGAGCTCCCTAGTTCAAAATCACTGCCTTTTCTTAAAAGCTTCAATAAAATAGCCCTCCCCGAATACAAGACCTCTACTTCAGTAAGAAAGCCATTTTATTAAAAAGTAATAAAAGTAGAAAAAAATA